AAAGTATATTGTACGACCAGAAAAGTATATTGTACAACCAAAAAGTAGATTGTACGACCAAAAAGTGTATTGTACGACCAGAAAAGTATATTGTACGACCAAAAAGTATATTGTACGACCAGAAAAGTATATTGTACGACCAAAAATTGAAACTAGATAAGCACATTTTGAAGTCCAATTAGACAAAATAGCGGACATCAACAAATTTTGCATGTAAAGTATTTAGCAAATTTCTTAAAAGAGTTTCCAAACACATCGCTGGTTACTCAAGTTATGTCCAATGTTCATACGATGTCATAAGCAGATTAAAGTTTAAATTTTTATATAAGTATTGCGGTTAATTTATTATTTACATAAAAAACTGCAGAATGCGTGTTATCTTGATCGCGTCCTCGTAGATTTATTAGATTTCTGTGCATTCGCCGATAGACTTGAATGAATTATCTTAAGGATCTTTAAAATCTGTCGGACAGATTCAATTTCATAGAAACTTATTTTTGACTATAAGTACTTATGATTTTCAGTTTTATACGCTTACTCTCCTACATGACCAAATTTTTATACGCTTACTCTCGTACATGGCCAATTTTTATACAAATACTTGAACAATTATTCAACAAACGTAAACAAATTGGACGCTTATTCTCACATTATTCGAATTATTGAGAATATAATACGCTTATTCTCGTATCTGGCCAATTTTTTTAAATAGGGGAAAATCGAATGCCACGCCTATAAAAACCGATTGACCATTCCTTATTTATTACATCTCATCATACCATGGCTGAAAGATAGTTTGCATTTAATTATTCGAATGCTGGCTGGTATTCTGCATAGGAATCTTATTTAACCAAAATCTCAAAGATATGGTTGAGAGAAAATCGAATCGGTCTTTAAAAATTGAATGAAACTAGTCAGGAGACGTTTAAGAGGAGATAAATGCTCTTTTTTTATACATTTATATATATAAGATTATATATTATATAAAAGGATGAACTAAATTGATATTTTTTGGTGAAAATGGCAAAAGAGATTATACCCGTTTTTTTATTATACAAGCAAAATTTTGCTATTCCAATTTTATTTAAGCAAAAATTATATGTAGACAATTTACTGTTTTTTCATACAATTAAATAAAGGGTTTCAAATTTCTTCAAACTACCTGTATGTAATTTATACAATGTAATATAAAATAGTATATATATATATATAATAGTATAATACGAAAATCATTAAATAAGAAAAAAGCATAAAAAAGCTAAAAGATACAAGAAACCAAGGATAAGTAAAATACATCCAAATGTCATTAATTAAACAAAATGCGAAAAAATAGCAAGACTAAGGAATTCGTCCATATGCGTTTAGATGATATACTGGATGACGTATGCGGATTTCTAGTAGTTATATGTGCTGCATTTATTTTAAATGTTTTTGAAGACCTAGACATCACACTTAACGACGTGCATAGCATAATGCACCCAAAAATGCAGGAAATCAATCAATACGATGAAGAAATTTTAGTTACTCAAAATTTAAAAGAAGCACGATACTCGTATGGATCGAGTGATATGTATCGCAAGGCTTGACAAAAGCAGCGTTACCAGGCTTAGTTTTCTTTCAAAACTTAATAGGAGTCTTTTTCCTTTTTGGCTATTATATAAGTTTAGAGATTTTCTACATATACTCCAAAATTGAATGACATTTTTTATTACACATACTTCAAGCAATCACTCAATGCAATCACTCAATGCAAATGTAGTTCTAAGCTAAACCTTATATATCTCTTGAAAAATAAAAAATAATTTCTTCAATTGCATTTATACTTTATTTTTTTACTTTGCAACGTTCTCTTAAATTTAAACCTGCTGGAGTTTTGTAATTTTTGCGCCCTTTATCCGTACCGCATTGAAGGTCAAAATGCCGGATGATGCTTAAAAAACTGCTTGACGGTTGAAATCGCTTGAACTAACTCGCGAACTTGAAATTTACTCTAAAACATCGAAAAATCGATTTAAGTTTCTCTTTAATTTATCTTTAAATAAACTCAATCCTAAACATCCAATCATATTTATCTCTTTGATAAGGTAAAATTTTTAATTTTCTTGTCATCGTTTCCAATGCCTTCCATCATTGCGCTTGCCTTGCGGGATCAAGTTTTCACGCATTTTTTTGTAATCTATAGTGTTAAGAAATTTGTTTTTCTTCTCTATATAGCTGAGCAAGTAATGCTTCCAAAAAGCAGTGCACTATTCAAAAAGCAGTCTTTTTATATTCCACGGGGAGGGACATAATCTACCTGTTTGCCACCATGCGACAAATAAAATTGCCTGCAGGTAGTAAAATACCATAGAACTCTCACGCCAACCGTATCACAATACCAAACTCAAAACGTATTTTGCTCTTCCCAGCTACTCCTCAAAACAGTACGGATCTTAACACTTTCTTCGGCCCGAGATTATAATTTTCATTTTACCAATTACAAAATTTCAAGCAATTAATTATTAAAAAGTTGTAATGGGGAAATGGCAGAAATCGGTCCAAGCAAACAATCAATGATCTTGGAGAGGAGACGGCGACAAGCAATGTGTTAATTCTAAATATGGCGGTGAGTATAAAACTTTCAGTCGCGGCCAAAGGTAATTTTCTTATTTGCTTTTCTTGAAAATCCTTCCCTTTTATAAGAAAAATAAATCTCGCCAGAAATCTACGTCTTTTATAAAATGTTGAAATGTGAGTAAATGCTTATGTTAGTAAAATAAAAATGCTTAGCTAGCAAAATGAGAATGAGAAGAATGCTTATGCTGGAGTTATAATGAATGCTTAGAATATAAAAACAATGTTATAGCTTTTGGCACCACATTGCCCCGATTGGTTCTACCACGTTCTGGACCACGTTTATTCTCGTTTATGCCCGCTCATCAAGGCGATGATCCGCTTAGTCCGGGCCCAGCTGCTTACATGGTTAAAACAACTTACAAGGATGTCAGTAACGTTGAGAAACATCGTAGCCTACAATATAGTTTTACTACTTATTACAGATTAATTTTAATGGACGCTTCCCACGACCCGAGTCAAGAGAATATAGTTTATATATATGTATATATATATAGATTTGTTATTTCATTTTCTTCCATTAGATGTCATGGCAGAGGTCCTCTTTGAAATTAATATAAAATTTTCTGCTAATTATGCTAACTGTGAGTCACCGAAATAATTCGAGTACTGTCTGTGCTGTTTGTTATAGCCGACGTTAATATTTTTTAACCGTTTTACCACCAAAAGCAGTGTTTCTTATCGCTCAGCAAGTGTTGACAATTTTCGCATCTCGAAACATATAATAAAACCGAATCTTCTGCGTTTAAACGATGTAAATGCACTTTCGGTAAAATGGTTTTTAGAGGGAATTTATGCATACGATTATTTTTCCCCTCCAAATTCAACCATTTTTGCGCCGTATCAATGACATGGGAATGCGGTGTCAATTGTTCATTTTTAACTTTTAATTCTGTATACAAGGCGCTCGCATCGCTCTGTTGGCAAGTTCTGGGGTCCTCAATGCTAAGTCGCTCAATACTCTCGGCACGGACTTTTAAAATTGACGCCGAGTAAATGTTCGTACGGCGGATTTCCGCTGAATCAGCTTTCAGTAACGATGTTGCTTTTTTGAATATGGCAGTCGAAGGTCGCGAACGTCTGGCCATTTTCAACGTTTTTTAAATTTCAGATTGTTCGAAAATATATTTTTTTTTCTCCGGGTTTTCTGATAGTATTTTCTTTTCCTGAAAATACTATTTGCTTCTCAAATGATTAATGAATAATTGAGAGCTTTCTAAATCCTACATAATTTCCCAACCTCCACTTTATTGGAAGAAGACAGTAAATACTCAATATAACAAAGATTGTGAATGGAACAAATACAACTCAAAGCATTTTTAAAAGAAATTATAAAGTAAGGCAATAAAAACTTTTTTTGCTCCGAATTACAATCAGTCTGTTGTGGAGCTAGGTAGCCCACCGAGTTTCATTGATTCCTTTTCCAAGTATATGACGAAACGTGTTAAATTGGCACGAACTGTTTGAACAGCCGCATATCGTTCTTTCAATTCCTTGCGTTGCGAACGAGCTTTACTCCTAAAAGTCTTCTCCAGTTTCTGAACTTCTTTAGCTAAGTCTATTTGCATTATAATTTCAGGCCAATCATTATCGGAAAACATATCCATTAAAGCATCGAAAGCTTCGGACAGTGTCCAAACATCTTCTTCCTGGAAAAAATTTCGAATTATTTGCAACTAATTGCTTTTATTAAAAACGAGTTGAATTCCTACATGAGTGCAAGTTTCAACAATAAACGAAATTATTAATTTTACTAGTGGTTCCGGTAAAAGACAGCCCAGTGTACCCAACATACGTAACCAATTCGCTCGAATTTCGGGCATCGAACAATTTTTCACGCCACCTAAAATAAGCTAATAATGATTAGAAAAATTTAAATAATATTCATCGCTTTTCGAAAGACAACTTCGAATGTACCTCCAAATCGTTCTGAGCCATTTGCTTGAAAAGCTCTCGATGGCTCTTCAAATGCTCCAAAGCCGAACGCATCAGAGATGTGGAAGGCTCCATAATTGAATAATCCCTTGGACCTTTGAATACCTGTTGTCCCAATTCTAGCCAAACACTATAGATTGCATTGTGCCCACCTAAGTCTTCAGAAGTGAGACAATTGCACAAATTTTGCAAACATAAAAGTGAAGAAATTCGCAAATTTTTCGCCCTAAGAGTGAAGTTCAGCAATTATATTAAAAATAAACAGAAGTGGATAGACGTACTTCATAAGTAAGTTTATATCTGTTTCTCGCAGTTGATTTGAGAGGTCATCACTAAGAAGTTGTGCCCGTTGCCAAAGCTGATTGATTCCAAATTTTTAGTTAGAGAAAATATTAGATGAAATATTTTACAAGCAGCACCATTTATACATTTAATTTTACTACCTGTTCAACAATACTTAAAGATTTTATGACATCTATCACGTCAAATCCGAATTTATCGCCCTCCACTAAATTCAAATTACTTCCACTAGTTTCATTAGACTCATAGTCCACTACACATTCATTTTCCGATATACTTTCATCGTCGATATCATTCCCATCTAAACGTTAACCACTTTAAAAAAACTTTCAATACTTTTATACAATTTACCTTCATTTTCATCATCCTCGTCGGAACAGAGATTTGTTATAACTTCGGCAGCTACTCTTTGCGCATCTAATAAATAACCGATATCCCTAACCACAATATCGGCTTCAGTTGGTAATTCTTGACGCCGTCTACGAGTGGCCGCTGCCTCCTCGCTTTCATCTAAAATATCTTATATATTTTACTGTGTTGTCAAAAACGTTCTTTGTATTTTCATACCATCTGTTATATCCATTTTAATTTCTAATTCAAATGTCTCTGATTGTGATATTAAGTTAGAAAGATTAGATATATTGGCTATAACTGATGATATGACGACTTGATGATTAATTTTGAGTACTCCAGCCAAAGCTCGTAACATGGTAACACTATAGGAAGCGGCCAGTGCTGGTACATTTGTTAAAATTGCGGCTGCTAAAGAACAAAGGTACCCTTGGCCGTAATCACCCGTTAATGATAGAAGACGCAAGAAATTGGGTAAATAATTGTTAAACACTTTCCACGATTTAGGATTGTTTTCAGAAACCACTAAAAAGAATTGAGCTACAGATATTGCTATATCCAATCCGTAGACACTGAAATCTAAACATCGTATAAAGCTTTCCATCAGTACAGTCTGATTGAAGGTATCGACGGCATAAGGGGCGCTCTCACACAAATTCCACAGCAAATTGATAGCCTGCAAAAATATGTCCGAACGTATGTCCATTTGATTGCACATATTGACATCAAACTTTGGCTTCCAATCGTCTACTGCATATTCCTGCAGCATTACAAACAAAGGTGTGAGAATATCTTGTTCAACCAAATAATCGCACACTTCACTACTAGCGACAGACAAATTTCTTAACGCACCAGCTGCAGCATTGCGGACTGATACGTCTTTTTCACATAAGAAAGGACCAACTATGCGCACAATATCTGTTTGACAAATACTAGCAACTTTATCTTTACTAGCCGTCAAAACAGCTAAGGACTGCAAGCCATTCAACTTTTCTTCCGTGTTAGCATTCTGTAATTGATCACGCACTGCTTCTATTGGTCCGATAGCAATTTCACTACTATTATTTAGAAAGTCGTCACTTTCGCTGCCGTTGATAGTAAATAAAGGGTTTAATTTCCTAGAATATTGAATTTTATGCTTTCTTGTCTTTCCCATGATTCTATATTCACATAAATAAGAAGACGCACGTGTAAACGCAAATCCACCAAAAAATTAGAATTTGCAACAACAAATACACATGACACTACTTGTACCAACCACAAAGTTGATATGTACAAAAATAGTAGTTTTTTTTTTAATTTTCTTTTATTGCGTTATCCCCATTTTCGGATCCCGGATTTGACCATAAATTTGGTGTAGGGTATCTGAAAGTCAACTTTCGTTCGCGGCTAAGCTGTTACGATCAGGTACAACTTTCGTTTCTATCATTCAAGTGCGAAGGAAAAAGCAGGCAAAACAAGCAATTTTTTGCTTATGTTTCATGTCTGTCAAAATCCAAAAATATAACAGCTGTTTCTTCTCTTTGATAAATTAACAATAAACTAACTATTTATGCAATAGTGACTCAAATAATGCAAAATTGTTTCTTCGGCTTACCTTACTTGTTTTTCAGAAAATGCATCTGTAAAAAGGCATATATATATAAACTTTAACTCTTGTATCCTGGTTTCAAATCTTAAGCGCAGTTGAGTTTTCAATAAAATCCATAATCTTAGATGCTGGTATTTAAAAGTTACTTCTGTGACTAAATTATTAATAATAATGACTCTTGTAAATACCCCTGCCCCAGAGAACGGGCTGTAAAGGCCCTCACATGACTTATTTAAAGCAAAGAATAAATGTTTTATTGATATTAAGATATCCAGGTAATTTCAAGATGTTCACAGGGTTAGATGCTCCCAAAAGTTATCTTCGAATATTACATTGGCATTTAGAAAGGATATGTTTGGCCGTAAGATTTTGTTCGCAAGCGTAGATCAGGATAGTAGATCTCTTAAGGATCCATTCATGTGTTGCAATGGTATGCCCAAACCGGATTTTTGCAAATGTTTTGGTTTCAATATTTCTGACGCTGATCGAATATAGAGGTGGATTAGAATGGAAGTACTGTCGATTCATCTGCAATAACTCAAAAAACTATTGTAACTAAAGAAAGCAATCACTCTGCTGAAAAATCTTCGCATAAAAAAGTCAAGAAAGAAGGTATTTAGAAGACTAAGGAAAGTGAACTTAGGGAAGGTGAGATTTCATCAGCGGGTCAACAACAGGAACAGGACACTACTGATAAGAATATAAAAGCAATGTCGGCACCCGCTTTAACTCCTGAGCCTGAGTCTGTAGCTAAGCCTCAGCCTGAACGTGAACCTGAACAAAAGCAACTAACCCTGCAATTTCTCGATCTCGTTACCTTTTATATATATACGGTAACTCCTTTTGGATCCTTATTGGTACCTGATTATCAAGCACTGCGTTGATAACGATTTCTGCACACATTCTCCGTGCTCCGTGCCTGTTCGAAGCAACATTTTGTGCTTGCAATCTGACTTAGGCTTCTTAAAGTGTTTATTCTATATCTTTATTAACGGATTTCTAAGAATACTCTATCAGGTGTTAACACGAAAAGTACTTTACCTAACACATGAATTATACATCAGATCGCATACATTTTTCTTGCTAAACGGCTGTTGAGCGCTGATGGGTTATCCATCCCTTTGCATAACAAAACGATTGAAAATTCTTATGTAATCTATCCTTAGGTAGTGAACTTGATTCGCAATTTTAACTATATACTTGTTCGTTTTTTGAAAAGCCTCGCCTCAGTTTCTTTAATGATCTCATGCTTGGCACACTTTCGCGTTTACACTTTAAAGAACAAATTCCATTATTAAAGACAAAAACAACATTATATTAATAAATTCATTAAAAAAAGAAACAAAAAAAAAAGAAAAAAAGTAAAATGAAAATTAAATTAATTTTTTTTTTTTCATGCATTCAGGACACAAAAATTCAAACGAAATAATTTTTTTTCAAAATAATATGCTGAATATCAGACGTCAGGCCATTAGAATTGTGCAGTTCATTAAAAAAAAAATAAAAAAAACTACCGAAAAAATTCAAGAAAAAAAAAGTATAAATAAAAATCGAAAAAACTGACATGCATTACAAATAAATTTTTAACAAATTCAAAAGCATTAAACAAAACGGCGCAGTTTTTTGTTTTAAAATGAAAAAGGAACCGTCCTGCGTTGCCGAAGAATAGAAAAAAAATACTCATATTCTTAATACCGTATGCTTTTATTTCTAAAATTCCAAATCTTCTTTCTTACTTAATTTTTATCTTTTTATGCACACAACCTAAGAGCAAGGTACTTTTATTTATTTGTAAAAACATCAGAAACAAATTTTCGAGATCTTATCATGTATTTGTATACATGTTCTTGGTGATCGGTTTCACAATCCGAGTCATATCAAGGTATTTTATAAAAACGTCAGAAGGATGTTTACTACAGCCTTTCACATTCGTATATAGTCCTGATATTGAATTGAATCGAAACATGTCTGTCTGTCTGTATGTCCACAATAAATATCATTCCAGTCGGGAAAACAAAGGCATCGCCTACAAATTGGAAATTTTTGCATCCTGGTTAATATTGAAATTAGGTCAGAGCGATCATGCTTGCTTAAGTATACCCATAAACCGAAAGCATCGCTGTTTTCAAAAGCAAAGAAAAGATGTCTTTTCCGCTTAGCAACTTATAATTTACTTAAAATGCATAAAGATAAATACAGTAAAAGCTCCCTTATTCACGCTTCTTGTATTCGCGGTTTCACTACTCGCGGACTAAAAAAATGCGACCCAACTCCCATATTTGTGGCTGTAAATTTCTTTATTCGCGGATTTTTTGTAACTGATTCCGGAATTGTTTTGTTTCTGAAGTTGAAACTTATTTAAAAAAACCGAATTTAGACTTTAAAGCACTTCTAGCTTGGGACAATGCATCAGGTCACCCTCGCGAACTTGAAACTATGTGCCCAAACATAAAAGTGACTTTTTTACCTCCCAACAGGCCGGCTTTCCTTCTACCTTTGGGCCAAGGAATAATCCAGGCCTTTAATCTCTATTACATTAGACGAACCTTCAAAATCATAATGGATAATATGGAATGTAATCCTGATATGAATGTTATGGAATGCAGGAAGAAATTTGACATAGCAAGATGCATCGTAAACATAAAAGAATCGTTGGAAGAACTGAAGCCACACACATTGAACCCATGCTGAAAAAAACTGTGGCCTGCTCTGACTGCGGAAAATGACGAAGAATCTGTGCAAGTTCCAACTGCAAACATAGCCGAACTCGCGAATGGAATAGGACAAGATGGGTTCGAACAGATAGAATCAAGTGACATTCAGGAATTGTTTGAATCGCAAGATGAAGGTTTGCCTGAAACCGCCTTGGAGGAAATGTTAAATTAAATTCACAGCCATTGAAGAAGAGGCTTCAGCAAGCACTGGAAATGATTTGAAAAGTCTTAGTGAAGCTTTAAGAATGGCAAATGAGTTTGGGCGATTTCTTTATGAACATTGATTCGTCTATGGAACGAAGTCTTACTTTGAAGAGGCAAATTGCTAATGCGACTGCTGCGTATCAGTCTGAATTGAAGGAACTTTTAAAAAACTGCCAAGCAAGAAAGACTTACAAAATTCTTTAAACCATTGCCTAAACCTTTACATAATTAATCAAAATGTTCAAAAACTTTTTTGATTTTTTTTTTATTTTGTCATCTAGGACCGTATCTCCTATAATCCCATATAAATTCACGGTCTCTGTATTCGCGGCATTTTTATGGAACGTATACCCCGCGAATAAGAAACTTCTACTGTATTTTCACGTCAATACTGTACAGAAACCCCGTCCGTCAATAGTATAAAAGATTCAGACACAACCTAACGTAGTTTTCTTTCTTGTTCTTCCATTGCCACAGTCGTCTTATATTGTTGTGGATTACGTAAAAGGCAATATCAACCTATTGATCTCATCAGGAAAGTTGAAAAAGAAAGAAAAATTGTGCCAAACGACGCAGGCCGGCTTTCCCAGAAGAGCCTTATTTTAAAGGAGATTACATGTACATGTAATTTACGCAAGATTTGAATTTACCGCCATTTGTGTAGTAAGATGTTGGTAATGAAGAAAAAAAAAAGCAATTTGACAGCTGACAGCTTAGGCATTAGGGAGAGCAACATGTTTTCACTGTTGAACAATATTTAAAAAACAATAAAGATTTGGCGACCATCAGCGTCCAAGTCAAAATATTGATTTAACTTTGTCAACTGTGAGGAGAATAATTGCAAAATTTAGGAAGATTGCATCACTTGGCTAGGATTTCTTTTCATTGGGTTGTATCAAAGGTCTACGTCAATAAGCTCACAAGCATTCGTGTATTGAAAGGGGAGATTCTAAGCTGCATCAATCAAACTCAGCCATGTACTGCGCTAAATGGTCATGGAAAACACCTATAAAAGAGGAGACGTACAAGGGGAGATGAATGCATATTTTTGATACATTTATA